ACGGGATTTTTCTAGTCGGATTCCAATGCAATTCCGTTTCCAGGAATCCGATCGAATTTTGTCGGATGGTCGGATCCGGTAAGATCCGATCGGATCCAGCATCGGATTTGTTGACCTGGGTTGCTCATTACGAAGTTCATCTTCGGTTTGCGATGAGGAAAGAAAAATTATTTAATAATTCTTCAGAATCTATGTCGTTATTGTTGTAGCGTACCATCAGATTATCGATTCGCTGTTGAACACGATTAGCACCATTTGAACTTGCTCGACGCTTACCGGCTGTAGTAATTTGTATATATAAGTGTTGAAATCTAGTTTCCACGCCCAGAATACACCGGATAAAGGACCATATGTGCGCGTTCAATTCGTCGATTTAGTCTGCTGTGAGAGCCTAAATGTAAATATTTCCATGCTATTGTCATGAAAAAAGGAAATGTCTATACCTTCGCAAATATTATTCGTTCTGTAGGGACAATTGTGAACGTTCCGCATCTGAACTGGTATAGTATTAATCCAATAATTATCAAAATACATAAATAAATCTCGAAGTTGGTTTTTCACTGTCGAATCCACTGTTGTACGTAAATGATAGAATGAGCTTTCGACTTTGTCAACAGGTAAAAGCGGTAAGACCGTCAATTTGCGGCGGTAATTGCGAACTAATTCATCGTTTGAATAGGCTGTTGCTAAACCGAGAGATTGAATGCGACGATAGAGACTCTGCTGATAACGAAAGAAACAACAAGAATGGATACTTTTAGGAAACTAAAACAAAAAAAGATGCTTTTATAGAAAAACGATAAATTGTACCTCGGTCGATATTGCGGGAATTAAACCGACTTCAAAGTCAGACATCATTCGCTCAGGTTTCCATACCATACCCATAGATACAGTGATAGAATTTAATTCTTGAAATAATTCCTGATAAGTCAATTTTTTCGATCCGGTAATAGAGCAAATACACACAGAAAAGCTAACAGATAGAAAATATCATTATGTATTTGCGAGATAGAAAGTTTAACATACCACAATCGAATTTCAATCCATGAATGGTGAAAACTTGTTCAAAAAAAGGCGGAGTCGAGAGAAACGTTCCGTCAAGAAAAATCATTGAACTCTCGAATAACAGCTGAAGTTGTCTAGGACTGCCAAACGCTAGCATTCGTTTCTTTCGAGAAAATAATTTGTCAGAAATTAAAAAGGTTTCACCAGACGTGGTGTTATGATAACCATCAGGAATATCGAATGAAATAGTTGTAGGTAATACTGGAGTGAGTTTTCGCTGAGCCTGATTCAATCCAGGTTCTAGAAAGAAAATATAAAAATACATATGATAGAAGTAATTCAAATCATACGGATCTGCTCAGCAAGTGGAACACATGCAAGAGTCTCTTGATCAAATTTGGCTTTAAAGATTTCTTCGTCATAAATCTTTTTTATCGGCATCGTTTCGTTAATGACCCGTTCCTTAAGTACTGTTCGAAACTATTTGACTTTCAAACTCTCCAGGTCGAAGAGATGGTTGTGTTCACCGCTTGTGTTAAAAAATGCATCGTTTGTATTCGTATGGACATGGGCCTTGCAGTTTACCGCTGTGCATTTCCAATATTTTTTCGCCGAAGTTTTCTTATTCATTTTGAAGATGAAACCGTTATGAACCAGTTGTGGATTACGTTTGTTCGAAGAAATAAATGATAAGGTACTGGAATTGTTGCGCATTTTTCAACGAAGAGTTGTTAACTAGGAAGAATTTTAGAATGTCGAAAATTCATTGGTATTTATACAGCCAAAAAGCGATGCCTGGATTTCTATTTACTTCTGTGTTTTCTTTTTTTTGCGATTTATTTTCCCTCCAACCCTTAGGGTCCTAAAGGGACAGTTCTCTGCTGATATCAAATGTGATGTATAAAGAAAAAGACCCAGGTGAAAACGACCATATCGGATCGTGTCGGATGGGTATCAAATCCTTTGTCTCATGGACAATCGGATTCGATCGGTTACTATTGAGCGGATTCCGATCTAATCTGATATTTTTCTTCAATATCCGTCCATCGGATACGTTGGGTTCCGACAAAATTCATATATTCTGAACCGGTCGGATCCTGTCTCAGGATTCGACTAATTCCGATCGGATAAGGGCTTTTTCGATGTCAGGAAATGAACAGAATTCAACGTTTAACATGATACCGGATTCCGTAATAATACCAAGCATTTGCTGTCGTCGGAACTGGTCGGATATATATGCATTCCCTCTATTAATTTTTTTATTCTCATGTATTACGGATCCGATAGGAACCTGCCATTGCTAGACGTCCGAAATGATCAGAAAGCCAAGCACACCAATCAGCATCATAATTATGGTCAGTTTGATTTAATAAATAATAGCTGATGATTGAATTCGAAAGTTATTCTACATTGCACTATAAGAGCAAAATTAAAACAAAATAATCTGATTGCAAACACAAAACTATTTGGTATCAATACAAATCGCACGAAATCACTTGAATTTCTTTGAAATCAGTAAAAGTTAATTGAAATAGTTTGAAATTACCTAGAATCTCCAGAATCATATGTATTTTCTGCAATCATTTCAAGTGATTTCAAGCTCTATAATCGAAATCAGTTTGTTCTTTCTTGAAAAGAATGAGGTGAATAATAGCTATCTCGGTCAAGATCTCCCTTTCAATTAGATAGCGAATAAAACAGAAAACGGTGAAACAGTGAATGGCGTTCAGTTTCAAGAAAGTTTTTCTTTTGAATCACAAATCATATTCTGTAAATGCCAAATATCTTTTACTAGTCATACATTATACGTTGCAGCAGGCAATTGTTTTCATTTTGGTCAAATTGAACAAGATATGCAAAATCAAGCTTATCGTCGGAAACTATACGCTGTTTTAAACACAGTTCTTATTTGGATCACGTTTACATTTCATCTGCTGCCATCTATGTATACCGCTCATTGATTGTGTAGGAGACATACTTTCTGTAAAGTCTGGAAATCTTGAATCTATATCTCTATTAACAAGACCGACAGAAATCTTATTATATTCGGTTGCTCTTATCATCGCTCAGACGTTGTAATTTTCTAGATATACATGTGTGCAGCGCTCAATTAGCTTCAACTTATCGCCAATTCGTGTGTTTTCAAAGATTTTATTGATATAGTTTCAACATGGAGCTTGATCTTCAACAAGCTTTGGATTTTGCCGAGAGAAGAAATTTTAAAAGATCAATGAAATATTATGAGACAAAAAAGGAGAAACGAAGATTTTCTCGTGAACAAATCTCAGGCAATCCTGAAGAATCTGCTGTCATTTCTTCATTTTCACTTGATCTCGGTTCCAAATCGAAAAGTGAAGTAGATGAACAAACCAGCTGCTTACTGGAAAATGAAATCAGTGAAAACGCTATGAATTGCCAAGAAAATCTTATCAACGTGAGCGAAGTCGAAAAGATCCTTTCAAATGATGGTGAGATTATTCATCATTCGTTCGATGGCTCAGAACTGTCTAGTGCCGATTTGAATGTTAATACTGAAGATCTATTACATTTTTACACACATATTTCAACCACAGAATTTTGTTCGAGGTTATTGACTTTATTGAGAAATTCTAATACCTGCAAATCACAAGCAAATCGTTTTTTATCATTTATAAGGACAATACTTCCATCGCCGAATAATGTTCCAACGAAAATGGAAGATCTTTTACAACAATTAGACATTGAAAACAATATTCTCAAGAAATGTTTGCTATGTACGAACTGCAATGAATACACATCACGTCCAAAAATGTTTTGTTCGAAATGTTCGTCAACGGATGCGAAGAATTTTGCTTTTGTGTACGATATGAACATAGAAGAATACATCAAACAGGTTTATGTGAGATTCAGAGTCGAGATCGATGAGTATCGGAATCAACTTTATTTGCATCAAGATGTGGAGAGGACTAACGATATAGGATTTAACCATATGTATCAGCAATTATTGAAGAATAATGAAAACAATGAATTTATTACGTTTCTATTGCATCTCCACGGAATTAGTTTATCCAAATCATCTAATTTGAAAATGTGGCTATTTTCTGGTTCAATAATTGAATTACGTCCTCAATTACGGAGTCATCGTTACAACAATATTATTTTTTCATTCTGGTTTGGCTACAAAGAACCTGATGTGAAGATTTGGCTGGGGAACTGCACGAATTTGATAAGATTACTAAAAACAAAAAGTTAGATATAAGCTAAAGAAAGATTTTTCGACTTCGTCTGTGTCTGCCAGGTCGACTTCAAAACTACATATGTGGTAATATTTTCTATTTGACTAGGAATTATAAACTTCGAATAATATCCGTTTCTTGCTTTTCATGTTCAAACTGCATGTAACGAATCGAAATACTTTTTGGCATAGAAGAAAGCAAAGGATGATCGGTTGACTATAATTGATATGAAGCGTTTTAGTAAGACACTAGTTCTCGTGACTGTTTTACATACTCATTAAATAACAGATAAATTCATATAGCATGTGGACGATATACTATGAGAAATAGTAGAATGATTTATTTCGAAACCATTGACATACGATGTCAACTATGTTCTCATGATTGCTTTAAATTATTTCAACTTGCTTCTTCGGCGTAGTTCCATCAATATTCACATACTCAGTCTAACTATTTACAGATGTTAATAAGTCTTGTAGAGCACCATCATTCGATGAGTTGTTACGTCATAGAAATATGTAGTATTTTCATTTCTTTTATTTTTAGGAATAATAATTAATGAAAACCATCGTATACTCATTAAATTCCTATCAATCACAGGTGATTCACCAGCTTTGAGTAAAATTCTCGATTTTAACGGACACGGTGGGTATTATTGCTGTAATTTCTGTTACACGCGTGGTATTAATGTTCAAAGAAAGAGACAATACTTTCATGAAAAGAAAGTATTACTACGTTCTACCGGAAAATATCACAAACAAGCAAAACAAGCTGAATTGACAAAAGAAAAAATATTCGGACATAAAGGTTAATTATCGATTGAACATTGTTTTTAGTAGACTGTTACCCGTTGAAATATTCTTAATAGTGCATGCATCTTATGAGTTTGAGAGAGCATTCTAATAGAGAGAAACATTCTTATACCGAACAGTAATACACTTCGATGCGACGTGAAATGATTTCTGTATATTTGATGTATCTGAATCGAAATTCGCGCAACTCCTTGGAACAATTTCGCAATTGAGAAATATTCAACATCGAGGAAAGTAGACTTCAGTAGAAAACGAAGTTGGAATCTTCGATCAAAGTAAAACACTTTTTTTTGTATTGTAGGAATTTCGATTCTACATGGCATACTTGACGCACCATTACCACAAGCAATATTGATTGATTATCAACACGTCAGTTTATTAAGACACACAAAAACTGTTTTAGGTGAAATTTATAGAAACCTTAGACCTTCAGATCGTGAACGGCTTGACAATAGATTAAAAAATCAAAATTTTCCGCATTTCTTTCATCGTAGAATGAAGTCTTTCAAGGAATTTTCCTTTATCAAAGCGGTAGAAGTACGAAACATTTTGTTTTACGGATTTTTACCATTATCGTTTGAGTTCATTAATGTTCGACAACTTGCTCATTTCGCTTTGTTCATTTGTTCGATGAGATTGTACCACTCACAACCTCCAGCGTTTGGTGATGCAACACAAGCAATGGCTGAGAACTTGTTCGATGAATATTACAAAGATCACAAGTTGTTTTATGCCGATATTCAAAATTATGTGCTGCATGTACATCATCATTTCGGTATGCAGTATTTCAATTATGGTTCTTTAGCAAACATTGGGTGTTTTCATCAAGAAGATCTCATAGGTCATTTAAGTAAAAATATACACGGCTCGAATTATTATTCAGATCTCATAGTTCACTACTATAATATCGATTTCCATTTACACGCACGTAGCTCTTATACAAAGCGTGATATGAGTTCAAGACCAATAGATCTTCATGCTGATATTGATCTGAATGATTATTCGATTATCAGACAATATCATGATACCATATGTACCTGCTCACAGCTTTCGAATTGTATCTCAATTTACCGTAGATGTCTCGTACGTAACAATATGTTCCATTCATTAATATACAATAAACGGGGGAAATCAAACAGCTACTTCATATCGTATTATGAATCATCAAACGCAGGTGCCAAATACTTTGGAAGAATCGAATTGTTTTTTTCTTTCCTCGACGTAAATTATGCTGTTGTCCAGCGTTATGTGCGAAATGGAAAATTTAGTCGTTTATTTCGTTCGTCTCAATACTTCGATTCGTTAGAAAAGTCATTAGATGAATTATTCTATATGTTGTTCAAAGAACCATCTGATTTACTAGATGTTATCAATGTAGATTGCATCTTGAAGCACTGTATTACTTTTGAGTTTCAACGACACTTAGTTGTAACAGAGATTTCTGCATACCATGAGCACGATTGAAAGAATTATTTCTTGCTTTTGAGCTTTATCCCTTTACTGAAGCCATTTACTTTTCAGATTTTTTATCTTTTCTAAAAAAACATGCAACGATCTCAACGAATAATAAATGCACCGAACAAATTCTCACCTTCTCAACCGCATTTGTATAGCCAGGAGAATTATTTACTTCGTTTCGAAGATAACAATGAATTGCTCATCGTGAAACGTTCAAGTATCAATTCGATCGTTGATGATAGAGCGATTCTTGGAACTCGTGCGAAACGTCGATACGCAGTGATCGAAGCCAAAGGTATTGTGTAAACCATTTTGCTAAATGGAGAAATGAACTACGAGGAAAGGAAAATTGAATGTCATTGAGTTGTGAAAATTATTCGATTGATATTGAAGAAAACATGATTTTTATTGCTTCTAGACTGAATTTTTGCGATTTTGTTTGATACATATACGCTAATTTTCGTTGTTCTTCGAAATGACGAAAGTTTATGAATGATTCTGTGTAAATTGTAGGTTCATACAGTCAATGTAACGATATGTATGAACAAATGCAGTCAATGGAGAAGACAACTATCGATGATGGCAGAGGTAATCTCATTAGATGATTCTACATAATCATATAGAAGAAATCTTGACATTTTCTCTCGTAATCAAATATATGGGTTCGTAGTTTAGATGAGATTGATGATCGTCAAAGCGATGTGCAAAGCGATGATGACTTGAATGACAGTGATGCTCGGAACGATATGCCAAGTACATTGCTTCTATTTTTTTCATCAACTAGTGATAATACTTGTTTTTTATTTCTTTTCCTCAGAGCAATCACTATCAACAGTGAGAAAAAGGAAGTTGTCCGCATCTGTTGTACAACAAAAAGGACGGTAAATATTTGAAACAAACCTTTTTCTCTCAATGACAAGTTCACATCGTAGAATGAGTTCTATTTTACTCGTAGTTATATGATACCTACCCAGGACGAACGTTCCGGCCTCCGGATCCAACCGGATCCACCAGGAAAGCACCCCTTTTCCGGCTCATTCCGGCCAGTTCTGACCATATCCAACAGATTCCCGACGGAAAACCGTAGGAATGTTGAAGCAGTGTTCCAGACCGGAATGCTCCGGAAACGGATCCACGATGTTCCCACTAATTCCATTACCCGGTTTCCTAAAATATCCACACGGAAACCAGAAAGGCCGCATAAATCCCATAACACAGACCGCCCAATAAAACCGCCCAATCCCGCCATAAACCTACGGAAACCAAAGAAAATGCCAATCTGCCAAAATTTGCCCGAATCTTTCCGAAAAAAACCACACTATTCCGGCAACAGTACACGTATACGACAGTTTCCGAAAGCCGAACTCCGCCAATAACCAACCGGAACCCATGTAAACCCAGGAAACGTAAACCACCGGGAGAACCCATAAACCCCCAATTCCCATCATTTCCATCGTTCTTTCACCACCAATACCCAATTCCTGCCATTAAAATCACATACAAAACACCATACTACGCCACGGTCTTACCCAACAACTCATCCCAAACACCAAAGGCGACACAGAACTCCACCCACAAGCCACTTATGAATGCAACAACCAAACTTCGCGATTACAATCCGCGTTACAGCCTACAACAAAACCAAAATAATCAAAATCCAAAAGCTATCTTATAGCGTTCACAATGCGATAACAATCATCATTCCAATTCGAACCATATGAGTCATTTGGATCGATTGCAAATCCGATTGCAATCCTACCCCAACTATGCCATATCCGAATGTTTAATTCATTCTGATGGATTGCAAATCCAAATGCAATCCAGATTGCAATCCTAACCAAAACGTGTCATTCGAAAACGTCTAAGTAGTTTGGATGGATTACAAATCCAAGTGCAATCCAGATTGCAATCCTACCTCAACTATGCCATATCCAAATGTTTCATTCCTTGTGATGGATTGCAAATCCAGTTGCAATCCAGATTGCAATCCTACCCCAACTATGCCATATCCAAATGTATAAGTCATTCTGATGGATTGCAAATCCAAGTGCAATCCAGATTGCAATCCTACCCCAACTATGCCAGATAGAAATGTATAAGTCACTTGGATGGATTGTAAATCCGATTCCAATCCAGATTGCAATCCTACCCCAACTATGCCAGATCGAAATGTATAAGTCACTTGGATGGATTGTAAACCCGATTGCAATCCAGATTGCAATCCTACCTCAACTATGCCATACGAAAACGTATAAGTCACTTGGATGGATTGTAAATCCGATTCCAATCCAGATTGCAATCCTACCCCAACTATGCCAGATCGAAATGTATAAGTCACTTGGATGGGTTGTAAACCCGATTGCAATCCAGATTGCAATCCTACCCCAACTATGCCATATGAAAACGTATAAGTCACTTGGATGGATTGTAAACCCGGTTGCAATCCAGATTGAAATCCTACCCCAACTATGCCAGATAGAAATCTATAAGTCACTTGGATGGATTGTAAATCCGATTGCAATCCTGTGTGCAATCCTACTCCAACGATGCCAGATCGAAATGTATAAGTCACTTGGATGGATTGTAAATCCGATTGCAATCCTGTGTGCAATCCCGCAATCAAGTGTGCAATCCTGCAATCCTGTGTGCGATCCTGCAATCCATGGTGCAATCGATTGGTAATCGGGGGATTGATGTGTAGCATGATGACCGGCGGGGTTTGTTTTTTTGCGGTTTGCGCTGAGATAGTTTTAGACGCGGTAGAGGAGGTGAGAAGTTCGTCGGTTGGCTCTTGGTAGAGTGTATATGGACAGCATTGTTTTGTGGGCTTTCCGTAGTATGCGGAGAAGCGCTTTTGGGAAGGGGATAGGTGTGTTGTCGGATTTTGTCGGATAGCCCGGGTTTTGGTAGGTTCCGAGAGGTAATGGCTCGTTGGAATTTTGCGGAAGTTTTTGGTGGGATTCCCTACTTTTCCGTTTGGTTACTGCCGGAACCGGACGGATTTCAGCCGGTGGAATCCGATCTGGAATCTTGCTTCCATGAAATGTTCGGAAAAAACCGGCACCGGTCGGTTCCGGACCGGATTTTTGGACATGGGTATCAAATTGATAATATATTGTGATATTTTCAGTCGAGAGTAATGCGAGTCACCTCCGACGAGCGTTATTTATCAAATAATCTACAAATATTAATCTATTAATTTACAAACATTTCATATATAAATTTTTTTAGCTGACTGATTCTTTTCTCCATTTAACATTGATGTGATTGAATCCATTTCATCTTCGTTATCGAACAAACATCTGCATAATGCTCTTTCGAACGAATGATCAATTTGACTAATATAAATGATATGCTATCCGTAGTCATGAAAAGACGTTCTTCTAGATAACTTATCTTCAATACATCGTTCCAATGCAAAAACATGAAAAAAAATTGCGTATTGATATTCAAATTCAAATAATTTTGTATTTGAAAATCGAAATATATCGCGCAAATTTCTTCATTCATTTTCATCTCATATGATTCAAATAATTCTTTTCAATTCTTTGGAAATTTTTTCGATAAAAGATCTTCATAAATGAAACGTACAAATACGAATTATGAAAACTCGATCAGCATCAACAACGCAGCGAATGTATCAATCGAAGGAATTGTTGTAGCCATCAGCAATCTCACACACAAACAAAACCAAAGAACAACTTCATTTTGGACTGCATTCTTATGCCAGTCAGATCAGAATATAATCAGAATTACCAAATATCTATCATGTAAACGCAAATGTACGTTACATGAAAAGCTAGTCGAATTTTATAATAAACAAGATGGCTGTGAAGTCAATGAACTGAAATTTAATACTAAGGAGAGCTATACTGCAACTCCACAAACAACTGTCGTACCAAAACAGTTATCAATCAAAGCAAATTGTTTACAATTTATTCCACTCGAACAAATTGAAAGCAAATGTGATGGTGAATATGTTAGCTTCCTTGCAAATATTATTGAGATCGGTCCTGTGAGTTCCATCTAACCTTGCTTGTGAAAGCTTTCCAATGTAATTCAGGATGAAAATGTAATCTTCAATAATGCGCAGAAACGAGTTTTGAAATTGAAAAGAGCAATCGTTATTGCCGATCAAACATTCTCTACATGCATGAATATATGGCAAGATCAATTTGATTTAATTAAACAGAATTTCAGCTCTAAAATTAAGCTAGCTAAAGTCAAATTCTTTAACAATGAAGTATCTGTGACGACAATGTCTAGTACAAATTTGATGAGATTAACAGCAGCTTTGAATTTTATTTTCATTTCTTTCGAAAAAAAAAGAATTATTTCGAATGAATAATTTAAAATTTTATTTGATAATTGAATTGAATTTACAGTGAATAATCAAATAAAGATAAATAGTTTGTCGACGTTTCGAAGGTTAGCCCTTCATTATCAAGACACTGGTGGTGCGATAGAGAGAAAGGAACAGATCAGAACGAAAAGAAGAGAACACGAAATGCGTTAACACGTTGTCGCTCTTAGTAGAAAATCAAATTCACATGCATAGGAATGAAGTCTGAATTACGATATTTCATAAGACTAGACAACAGCCAATGGTAATGAACCGAACGTCGATCTTATCTTGACTTTAGGTTTAGATGATACTAAGCCTTCCGGAAAAACTATTAGAGGTACTGAGCTCATTGTTCTATTTAGGCTAGGCTTTAAGTTGTTAATGAGTAGAGATTCTTTAACTAGTAATTGATAATTTTTGTTGTCTTTAGCTAGAATGTTAAAGTTAGTCCAATCAATATGGTGATTATTACTCAATTCATGTTGTTTGACTGCTGATTGAATCGATTTATTATGTGGAAGAGTTAATCTTTCGTCAGGTGCTTTGGGAAAGTAATGAACGACTTTATTTTTATTTCTATCTGAACGTCTCAGAGGTAAGGAATCTGTATTTGAATTTGGAGGAATTATGTCAAATTCAAGATTTAGGTCGATTGCTGCTCCATGCTCGTGAAGTCTTTTGCTCACGTGTCGTACAGTTTTGCCAATGTAAGTAGCATCACAATCAAGGCAATTCAGTTCATACACGACCCGAGATTTTATCAATTTAGGTATAGGATCTTTGAGTGGAAAATATTGAGAGAGAGAACTCGATGGCCTTTGAATTGGTTGGAGATTGACAAGTGGATCGATGGTTTTGGTCAATTTAGTTATTTGTTTTTTGAAGACATCTGTTGCTTTACCGAAAAAAGGTATGTCAAGAAAAACACGTTTTCTGTTAGGCAATGAATCGTCAACGAACGTCTTTTTATCTATAGATATACAAACGGATGTGCCAATAGATTTATACATGTGTCTGTTCAACGTTTTACGTATTTGAGATTTAACGAAATTATTTGGATAACCATTCAAGTGACTAACGTACTCAATGAATTCGAACTCTTCATGCAATAAGTGATACGATGAACAAATTCTGATGGCTCGATAGATCATACTACTCAGAGTGCTGACTTTGTACGAATACGGCACGAATGAATTCCATTTAGTTAGCAGACCAGTAAAAGTAGGTTTTCTATAGATAGTTGTCGAGAAAGAATTGAGTTTGGTTGTGTTTGCTGAAGATGTGTCTGTTTGTGTTGTAGATGGCTTATTTAATGTGAAATTGAGTGAAAACAAACAAGGATTGACATCCGTGGTGTTAAACATGTGAGTCGAAGGTTTGTTATTGTCATTCAGTGCTGCAACGTCATCGGGTGTGTTGTTCGTTGTATAGTTATCAAGAATGGTTGAATAGGTGAGTGTATGACTTTCGGTTGAATTAGTTAATTTGTCAAATTTTACTGTTTTAATAGAGAAATGATTTAGATGGTAAGTTGAACTGTCGTCAGTGAGTGATTTGGGAATTAATTTCTTATCTGAGTCGATTTTTAAGTTAGCAAACGTCTTTTTATTAGAAAGATTCGTCGGTTGGGTGTTAAGGTTGGACATCGAAGTGGCTACAACGTTATTGTTTGATGAATTATCAAGATTGGTTGGAACATTCGTGTTATTTTTATTATCCGAATCAATGGGCAACTTATTTTTCGAGTTCAACATCGAATTGGTGAAAACGATAATTTTTGGATTACGCTCGAACGAAGTTAAAGTCATTTTATTATGCAAGCTGTTATGAAGATTAGAAAAATTATCCGTATGTGCAAAATTCAATTCAGAGTTCAAACGGGTATTCGCAATGTCGTTCGATTTCCGACTCATTCGTTGATTTGAATTGTAGCTCAATACGTTCAATGATTTATTAGCAACCTGGCTGGATTGGGCGTTCGTTGGAATTATTGCTGGATGGTTATTCGAGTTAGTGTTAGAATTCTCAATGACTTTCAAAGTTAATTGTCGATCGATTGATTTATTACCGGATGTATCGAATTGGTCTTCGAATGAAGCACTCAAACGAGCTGTTGGTGGTTGAATGTGTTCAAGATCCAATCGACTTTTCAAATTCTCATTGAAATTATCGACAGTTTGCTGATCTACTGATTCATTAGTTTATGTGTGAAAATGAGTTGTGGGTGACAGAATCAAACTATGCAACTCAGGAATCGATCGAGTATCCAAGTTACCAATGTTTGAATGAAAAAATTGTTGGCTTGTTTGTTTACTATCAGGGGAATTGGATTCGCCTTTTATGGACGAGTTGAAACTCTCTGTTGTATTATCGTTTTTACTGTTTTTGGAAATATGGGCTGTTGAGTGAATGATGAGAGAAAAGCTTGGTTCAAAACAAAAATAAAATTAAATCTATGGTTGTGTCTCATGAAAATGGTTTTATAAGTTTTCAGTAGTGGAATGATGCTAAGTTCGGTAGTGAAGAGAATAAAGAGATAGTCCAGGTACCGATGTGATCTCTGATTGGATGCGCGTCGTATAGTTCGATTTTCTTTTCTTTCGGTTGGACTCCTTTGTTTATGAATCATTTAACACCTGGTCTTGATAATGAAGGGTTAACCTTCGAAACGTCGACAAACTATTTATCTTTATTTGATTATTCACTGTAAATTGAATTCAATTATCAAATAAAATTTTAAATTATTCATTCGAAATAATTCTTTTTTTTCGAAAGAAATGAAAATAAAATTCAAAGCTGCTGTTAATCTCATCAAATTTGTTCTCAAATTGTTACCCATAAAGAAATGGAATTATATTCACATAATAAGGCAGCAATATGGGTCATTGATTGGAAAAAATGTATTTTTATATGGAAAGTACCAGTTAAAATTGTCAAAGGCCAAGCTGGACTTGGACCTATTAAGAACATGCAAACGTGAAAAGATTATACCAGATTTCGTTCGATTCAAGATCCCATCGACGCATCAACATCATCGACAGGCGATCAATAACTGTTATGAACAAATGGTGATCCACGAATTGAAGCTCAAGAAATGTAAGTTATCGCGTTTGTATCGAATAGTTAGAAATTTCAAAACGTTGATCTGTCTTGACTTAAATCATCTTCACACATGTCGAGTAGAGAGAATTATTCATAGAATCGTAGCATCAAAAGAACTAGAGATTAAGGAAAACCATCAGAATAAGTTAAATAAGTTCCGTAATAAACAACGTCCAGCAAATGAACCAAACAAATCTACGTTATCACCAATAACTAATCTATCTAAGCGGATTCTAACTGATAACGAAATAAGTATTTTGGAAAATGGTTTGAATTTTGTATTGCCAACTGATAAATTCGACGAAATGACATTCATCAGCAACATTGAAACCTTTTTTGTTGAATTGTTGGGCCATTGTACTGATAAAAGAGATTATGAAGAGAAAGATGTTGATGAGGAGATAAAATATAATTTGACGCCGATTCAATTACAATTTGCTAACAGAATACGATCTGTTTGTAACACTTTTCGTCACAGCGCCGATAAAGTAATAAAAAAACATAAAAACGAATCTATTCAATTCAAAAGTATCTTGAAGAATCTTTCCAAAGACAAATCAATCTTAATTACACGCCCTGACAAAGGCAAAGGAATCGTAATAATTGACAAAGAAGATTACAATAATAAGATGTTGGAAATTCTTAGTGATCGTAACATGTTCGAGATTGTAGAAGTTGATGAAACCATAGCGCAAGAAGATAAATTGATACGAAAATTGAAGCAATTAAGAAACGAAGGATTCATAACAGAAAAAGAATTCAATTTTTGTCGTCCAAGAGGCTCGCAACCAGCACGTATCTACGGTCTGCCTAAAGTACATAAAGCAGGAGCACCTCTTCGACCTATAGTTTCGGCTTCAGACACTTTCAACTATAAACTTGCAAAGTTGTTGACCCGCCAATTGGATCATCTTCGAAAAAGCGATTCAATCATCAAAGATACATTCACCTTTGTCGACGAACTACGCACGTTGAAATTTGATAATTCTCGAATAAAACTAATTTCATTTGACATCACTAGTTTATTCACCAAAGTTCCTCTAAATCGTACCATACAATTAATTCTCGATAAAATGTACGGGCCGGAACATACTTGTACATACAGTGACCTCAAACGCGATGACTGGTGTATTGTTTGCAAGAATAGATACGAGATGAGATATCTACTTGAAACAACAACAAAAGAAACCAACTTCATATTCAACGATAAAATCTACTCACAAACCAACGGGATTGCAATGGGATCCCCACTGGGGCCTTTGTTTGCTGACATATATGTCAATTATCTAGAGGAGAGATTGTTGCCACGGCTAAAAAGAAATGGTCTGTTGTATTGGAAGCGCTATGTTGACGACACGTTTGCTATCGTTGAGAAACATGCCAATGTTGAAAAGATAGTTGATATACTTAACAGTTTCGATAATGATATAGTATTCACATTCGAAGAAGAGAAACATAATTGCCTACCTTTCCTTGACATACTAGTCACCAGATTGTCAACTGCAAATAATCCTGACACATCTGTCGATAAATCCATCGAAAAATTGAATAGTCGATTGAATTTCGAATTGAATAACTTGATTGTGTCAACCGTAGATGAATCCGATATGTCCAACGATAACTCGATTGAAAACTTGAATAGTCAACCAAATTGTCAATTTGGAAAAACATTAGCAGTTAACTTGATTGTTCCATTCGAAGATCATTTAGACACGTTTGATATTAAACTAACAGAACAGCAGACAATTGATAAAACCGTTGAGAATTCGAATGCTTTGTCCGATTGCGAAGTGAACATAACATCAGCAGATAGGTTGAATTTGCCAACCATTAGTCAATCAAATCAAATCGATAACAAATTCACAATTCAGTCTAATTGCACATCTAATCATCAACCGAGTGATAAATCTAAAGAAAACGATAGTTCTCCATTGAATTTTGATGTGAATAAACCATCTGAATCGAACACTATAAATAAAATAAAAAACAAAAATAACGTTTCCTATCGCCACAATAGCTCACGTTACAAATTCACCTCGACACCGTTGATCCATAATCCAAAGATTGTCTCGTTTGTAAACTCGTTGTTGAGTTCCGAAAAGAAGTCGACGAATAATTCGATTGCTTCACCACCGAACCATGACAATATATCTAACGTGGATATCACAGCCACCTTGACAAACGACGTCAACATTCAACCAGTAAATCGTTTAACAAAAAAGTCGTTTGCTAATCTAAGAATTGACTCGGATAAGAGATTGATTTCCAAATCTTGCGTTTGCGATGATAACGATATTTCACTAGTTGGTTCAATTAGTTTCGTTGACAGCACTGCAAATCTATCTCAAATAATGAATTTAAATACCAATTTAAAACTCACTCATTTAGCCACATCTAATAGCCACGCACTGAATAAGACTCCTGATGCTCCTTTAACATTGCACAACGTTAACAAACATTCCACCGGCATAGATAACTCACTTCCGTGCTTGATCTCAACTAATCCCACATGTAATAATTTCTCCATAACACAAACAAACACACACACTACAAATACAACAAAACTCATTGACTCATTTTCGACAACTATCTATAGGAAACCTACGTTCACAGGATTGCTAACCAAATGGAATTCATTCGTACCGCATTCATACAAAGTGAGCACCCTAAGTAGCATGATCTACCGAGCTATCAGAATTTGTTCATCTTACCAACTATTACACGAGGAATTTGAATTTATTGAATACATCAGCCAATTAAATGGTTATCCTGCTAATTTTGTTAAATCGCAAATACGTAAAACTTTGAACAGACACATAGGTAAATTGAACTGTACAAGCGTTTGTGTTTCTAAAGATAAAATGCCTCTTGACAACGATTCATTACCTAATAAGAAACAAGTTTTCCTTGACATACCGTTCGTCGGCAAACCAACTGATATCTTCAAGAAGCAGCTAACTAAACTAACTAAGTCTACTGATACTAACGTTGATCTTTTGCCAATTCAGAGACCACCGAGTTCTCTTTCTCAATATTTCCCGCTAAAAGATCCCATACCTAAATTGATAAAATCTCGTGTAGTATATGAACTAAATTGTTCTGACTGTGATGCTACCTATGTCGGTAAGACGATACGACATGTAACTAAAAGATTTCATGAACATGGTGCAACCTTCAATCTAAACCAGGACACTAATTTGATTCCTACCAATTCAAATATTGACTCCTTACCTCTAAGACGTTCCGATCGAAATAAAAACAAAGTCGTTCACTATTTTCCCAAAACTTCAGATGAAGTAACAGCTCGTACACAAAGTAAACCGACTCAGTCAGCGGTACACCAACACGAGATTAATAACAATCATCACATCGATTGGACTAACTTTAACATCCTTGCTAAAGATAACAAAAATTACCAATTGTTAGTAAAAGAATCTCTACTTATTAACTGTCTTAAACCCAATCTCAATAGAACAACTAGTTCAGTACCTCTAATAGTCTTCCCTGAGGGTTTAGTATCATCAAAACCTAAAGTCAAGATAAGATCGACGTTGGATGCAATATCATTGGTTGATATCTAGTCTTATGAAACATCATAATTCAGACTTCAATCCGATGTATGTGTCTTTTGATTTTGCGACTATAGCGACAGCGTGTTAACCCATTTCTTGTTTCTTTCTATTCTTCTAACTCTTTACTTTTCTTCGCTCTCTTTCCACCACGTCTTGATAATGAAGGATTAGCCTTCGAAACGTCGACAAATTGTTCATATTCATTTGGTTATTTCATTGTGAATAGAATCTATTTATCAAATAAATTTATTACTTCTCTATTCGAAATAAACTTTTTGGAATCAAATGAAAAGGAAATTCAAAGCTGCTGTTAATCTCATCAAATTTGTTCTCAAATTGTTACCCATAAAGAAATGGAATCATGTAGAACTTACCTGGATGTTGATGTACGAAAAATTTCAGCTCAAACGATTGATGTTTTCTTGACTTTTCAGAGTGTTCAAAATCGTTCCTTGAAAAAGTCAATTTTATAGTGCTTTCAGTAAAACTGCTATAACAACCGAACGATTCAATATTTTTTTAATCGGTTTTCACCAAAATACATCAAACACTTGCCCCTATCACATATGCGAAAATGAGCCAAATCGGCGAATGACCTTTGAGCGCTGTCATAAGAAATCGGCTGCGGCTTATATGGAATGGCTCTTAAGAGACGAATGCAGTAAGATAACCGTCTCTCAAAAGAAAAAAGAAGATAAAAACAAATGAATAAACTGAAATCTATCACTTGAATTCGTATTATCTGTCTACAATAGGTGAATGAGTTCTGTTATGTTTAAATTGTAATCAAAGTAATGCTGATCACAAGAATAAACTATGAATTTCAAAAGAGAGACTTGTGAGGTACCAATTGGAGAGAGGCCGTCGAACGACTAAAGGTTGATTTTAGAGATATTATCAATGCAATACGTGGTAGTTTTTATGCTTTAGATGCTCTGGTATGATTAGGTCCAGAAGAGAAAATATTTGTTGATGAGGAGTTTGATGTTATAGCAAATCATTGCTTATAAAAATATACGTTTCCAAAGAAAAATCTAATAGGAAAAATAATCAATGAATTCTATTTTGTCAATCCTTCAATCGAGGGCCGAGTGAGTCATCGACGACGAATGTTATTTATGAATAATATATCAAGTAAAACTAAAACGACCAATGAATGAATTACAGCGCGATCATATATGAACTTATCTTGTCAAAATATAATGTCTGACAATTTGACAGAGTTACAGATGTTCGAAAATCAAACGATATGTCATATATATATATATATAGTTAACATTTATTATCAGTTATTAGTTAAATATAGAAGACAAGATAAGAATAGTTTTGAGATTGTATGAATCGAATTTGATCAAAACTTATTTTAGTCTACAATAAACGAGATGAATTCATCAACAATGAAAATATAAAATCATGTAAAGATGCCCATTACAACATCCGATTAAAATAAAATAACGAAAATGGCTGACCATCAAGATATTATTAGAAAAAAAAGAAGACATTCTTATTTTCAATGGACTCAGTTGATCGCAACAATAAGTATTCCAATTATAATTGCGATATATACAGTTATTGAAAATAATAATAGTGTGTCGATTGCTGCCGATAACAATCGTAAAGACATCCAAATTGCTGATGATAATCGAAGATCTGAATTTAATTTATCTCAACAAAGTCTACAGAAAGATCGTGATCTTGCTACTGACGAACAACAAGAAAATATTCTTGTCAAATATCAAACTTTTCTTGCAAATGTTTTACTTCAATATGGTAACGAGTTAGAGCAATCATCAAAGAGACAATCCGTTCTACGCTTTATGACACTTACTGCATTAAGTCAATTGGATATACGACGCAAAAATATACTTATTCGAAGTCTCCATGATGCAGAATTGATTACTTTGAAACAAAATGCTAACAAAAATCATCCAAGTACTTTAGCACTTGCATCAGTCGATCTGAAAAACATTACGTTCGGTTCACCACTCAATTCACCAGATGAATATCCGTTGCATCACTACATTCATTGGCGTTATCTTTGGTTACCACGTGCTATTCTAACAAATGCATCATTTCGTCATACAGAATTAGAATGTGCTACTTTCACTCGAGCTCGTATGGAATCAGTGGATCTCAGTTTTACTATTCAACCAATAACAAAATGTTTCGATGGTTTTCGTGATGCTGGAACAGATTTTGTCAGTGCTTCGTTAGTTAACGCTAATTTGCGCAATACTAAATTCCAATATACTGATTTTTCTCAAGCTAATTTAACATTTGCCAATATGCGCGGATTCTCTTGTGAAATGTGTAAATTTTCGCAGACAATATTATTCCAAGCTGATTTAAGTTTTTCTTACTTCTATCATAGTTTTCTTCTTAATCAAACACTTCTCGATTTCACTGGTATCAAATTAAAACAAGCAACTATTTATGGATCATATTTTCGATCGATAAACTTTCAAAATTCTGATTTTACTAACGCCAAATTATCACAAGTAATTATCAGAAATAGCGTATTTATTAAAGCAACAATGAACAATTGTTCTTTTATAAAAAGCACCATTCAAGAAACTATATTTCAAAACACAATATTAAATACAATTGATTTTAGTAATTCTACATTATATAAAGTTACATTTAATAATTCCGATATGAGAAATGCAAAATTGAGTTTTATTAAATGTGTTTATTGTAATTTTACAAATGTTAAATTTGAAGATACTATTTTTAATAACGCATCATTACGTCATTCGAATTTTATTAATTGTAGTATTCATAGAAGTCAATTAGATGAAGCAACTGATCTTTTTGGATCAAGATTTTCTAATGGAACTGATGAATTAACTCTTGGTACAACAGGACAAATTTCAAACAAAACAATGTATACTATTCGAATACAAACTGGTGATGAATTTCAAGCAGAAACTAATGCTGATGTATATATACAAATTTTTGGTGATAAAAGTTCTACAGACAAAATTCAACTTGAACCAGTTGATTATGTACCAGAAAAATTTCAAAAAGGACGAATCAATGAATTTACATATGAAATTGATGATCTTGGCAAAGTTTGTTTTTTTTCTCTTTCAAATTAATTATATATTATTTGTATAGATTCAGTCTGTAATTATTGGATATAATGAAGAAAGTCCCGATGCAGAATGGTTTTTAGATTGGGTAGAAATTGAAACATCAATAAGTAGCGAAATTTCTAGGTTAGATTTATTCGGAAAAGTTGTTATTATTTCGAATGATTTTCTTTTCTTTTACAGATTTCCTTGCTATTGCTGGTTAGGCAAAAATAAAGATGGCGGTGTAATCGAACGTCAATTAACATCTTCTAATGTCACTGGAAAACCAATTACTAGTAAATAGAAAAGTTGCTGAATAAATCTTTAATTCAAATTAATCTTCTATATATATAAAGGGGGATAGAGAGAGAGAGAGAGAGAGGGTTGAGTGACATTTTACTCAGATTACAATATACTGCAATTTTCACTGCTTTTTTTAGAGATTCTCGTGAATTCTGTCAGACTTTCGACTATCTTCTTTCCGCTTATATTTCTTTGTGCTATCCTTGGATCAAGAGTTACTGCCTGATTGAATATTTCCACAGCCGGCATGCTTTGTGATCGCGCACGAACGAAGAAAAAAACTGAGATTTTCACGATTGCATACAAGAAATCTCACGATATGAAAGTGCATCCAAGACCGACTGGTCTGTGTGTTCATCGATTGAATTCTAGCATAGTTTAATACATAGTAATATTTCTTTAGTCAAGTTTTCTGTCGAATGTCAAATTACTAAAGTTATGAGTCAGACAATATTTTTTCAAAACACTTGAACAATTATTATCTAGAGATAATCAAAGTATTATGCGGGACCTGAAATAGACCGAGTTCTCTTTTTGACCGAAACGTGGATAGAACCAGGATAGCAGCGGGATCGAGATGGCGCTGGGACTTAAATCTTCTTTTAGCCGCGATCGGAACCGAGAAAGACTGATCTCACGCATATTTTGATTGAAACCGCGCGCTTAAAGGATTTTTCAGAGTGGTAATACCAAAATACCAAAACAAAAATAGATGATCAATAAGTGAAATCCAAGCGCATTTTACGACGTCCAAGTTCAGTAGATTATAGGAGATCATAATGTCATCATTTTCCAATATGTTCGGCATAAAATATGAGATTTTTCCGACTAACATCGGGTACTTCCGCTGGTCATTTCATATTTTAATGAAATTAATTGAAAGATTTTTGTTTCAGTTATTTCATATAAAATAACAGTTGTCACTGGTGACAAAGATAGATCTGGTACAGATGCAAAGGTATTTTTAACAATTTATGGTGACAAAGAAGATTCAGGTAAAGAACAGAATATCTGTTTATAATAATTGATCAAATTGTTTTTTTGTTCTAGGCGAACATCAATTAGATCATTCGGAACCAAACGAAAATCCATTTGAACAAACTCAGGTTTATTTAATTCTTTTAAAAATTTCTTTCTAATTATTATTTTATAGACAGATACTTTCTACATGGAACTTATTTCATTAGGAAAGTTAAGAAAAATCAAAATTCGACATGATAATACAGGGGTAAGATTATTAGACTCTCATATATAGTATCTTTCTTGTAATAATCTATGACACAGTGGTATAATTGCTGAAATCTCTGATTATCAACTTGTCATTTATGTGTGTCAATTAAGGGAAAAATAATCGAAATGTCTAGTATGAAGTCTTCGCTATTTCTCCCTTGGCGTTATTCATATTTTTCTAAAATCGATATGACAAGTTTTTCTGATTATAAAATATTGAAAAATCATTACTGAAATAAACTAAAATGTTTATTTTTATTCTTACATAAAATCTTTCGTATATATATATATATATATACATATTTTGATTTGTTGTTTTAGTGGTATCCTGGATGGTTTCTTCACAGCGTTGAAATCTATGATTCTAAAACACAACAAAGGTAAATATGGAGATTATAAATGATTATCTGATACATTTAATTTGTTTTCGATTTAAGTTATTTTTTTCCACATGAACAATGGTTATCAAAACGCAAAGGCGATGGCACAATTTCCCGAGAAATATTTGCTTATGAAAAGCGACGATTTGATTTACCAATCATGTCTCGAAGTATATCTCAGTTATCATTTAATTATAATGAACAAATCAAAAGTGAATATCTTATTTCCATATTTTTTCTTTATTATCTTCTTGATATTGTTTTTTTATTCTTCATTTTATATTTAAATCTAGCATTATATACAACTTATCAAATTTGTGTTGTTACTTCGGATGATAAATTCGATGGTGATACAAATACTAATGTTTATATTGTTATATTTGGTGAAAGTAATCATACAGGTTCGATTGATTTATTAAATTAAATCTAAAAAGAAATTTTTTAAAATCATAGATCAAATTCCATTAACAAAATCAAAAACGTATAAAAATCCATTCAAAAAAGGTCAGACAGATATTTTTGAAATTGAAGCTATAGATATTGGTCAACCAACAAAGATTAAGTATGAGGAATCCTTTTTTTTCAAATAATTAAGTTTTTCTTAAATTCAGAATTGGCCATGGTAATTTAAATTTGTTATCAGATTGGTTATTGGATCGTGTAGAAATTTATATATCGAAACTTGATCGAACATGGATATTTCCATGTGGAAGATGGCTAAGAAATACCAAGAAGGAATTTCAATTGGAAATCGAACTATTTCCAAATATTCATAACAAATGACGTTTACATAAGACATATTAATAATAGGTCTCGCCCAACCCTCGACTGAACCTGATCTACTCCTTATCGATTACTTTAGAAAAGCCGTATTTTACGAACTACTGTTGAACTAATGCATATATATATATCGTGGCGAAATTACATTGTTCGACGAAGTTATAGCATCATGAATAATTTTGAGGAACTTATAACGTCGACAATAAACTTTATCGAAATATTTTAGATCGACTATATTTCTAATAACTTATTGATGATACTGGAGTCAAAATATAAAGGACGGGGGGGGGAGGAATTTAAGGGCCAATTGTGAATTTAAAAAAAAATTAATTAATAAATAAAACCAAAACTCACATATAAACTATAATTCAATCTATAATAACTTAATTCAATATAATATTAACCTTGATGTTCATCGGGGGATATAGATGATAGATATTGAACATACTCCAGATATGATGAAGATATGTTAGATA